CTCTTCACAATCCTTTCTCAATCCTTTCCTACCATTTATCCTGTTACGTGAATGTTGGAACGCTTCACATAATAATTATCCGTAACTCCTATTCTTTCCCGCTTCACAGCATTATTTATATTTGTTTGGCTTAGGATGCTTGTAGAGTATGTAAAATCGATTCGATTGGTATATAATAATGATTAGAAATGAACTGATCGAAAATTTTAAACCTTACTCTCGTTAACTTTTGATAACTTTTAATAACAATACCCATGCGGACATGTAAAAATGAAAATTCTAAATTTTTTTCAAGTTAGTAAGCTAATCATTTGTTTATGTACCTGAAGTTCCGAACGTTCATTTATGAACGAAAATCGAAAAAAAATTTTTTTTGCTCCTGAAACTGAAAATGGTTTTTCAGTTTCGAATAGAGACAGTGAGCCCTAAAAATGATATATTAGCTCCTCAAAACACAAAAACCACCCCTCCGGCCACCCCAAAAACTTACACTTGGAAAAAACAATTTAAGATAAAATCCTTCCGAGGGCCCTTTGAAGCTGGCTATTTTTTGTAGGACTCCCACAACACCTCCACACCATATAAAAAATCACCAAGGCATTAGCTGCCCCTGAACTACCCCTCCAGCCACCCCAAAGTTTTGCCCTTATTATATAAAAATTCAGAAAAAATCGTTACAATGGCCCTTTGAAGCTGGCGATTTTATGTAGGACTCCGATTCTATGTAGTTCCGGGGCAGCTAATGGCTTGATGATTTTTTATATTATGTGGGGGTATTGTATGAGTTTTATAAAAAATCGCCAGCTTCAAAGGGCTCTCGGAAGGATTTTTTCAGAATTTTTTTTTTAATGTCATAAGTGTTTGGGGTGGTTGGAGGGGTAGTTCCGGGGCAGCTAATGCTTTGGTGATTTTTTATATTGTGTGGGGGTATTGTATGAGTCTTATAAAAAATCGCCAGCTTCAAAGGGCTCTCGGAAGGATTTTTTCAGAATTTTTTTTTTAATGTCATAAGTGTTTGGGGTGGCTGGTGGGGTAGTTCCGGGGCAGCTAATGCTTTGGTGATTTTTTATATTGTGTGGGGGTATTGTATGAGTCTTATAAAAAATCGCCAGCTTCAAAGGGCTCTCGGAAGGATTTTTTCAGAATTTTTTTTTTAATGTCATAAGTGTTTGGGGTGGCTGGGGGGGTAGTTCTGGGGCAGCTAATGCTTTGGTGATTTTTTATATTGTGTGGAGGTGTTGTGGGAGTTCTACAAAAAATCGCCAGCTTCAAAGGGCTCTCGGAAGGATTTTTTCAGAATTTTTTTTTTAATGTCGTAAGTGTTTGGGGTGGCTGGGGGGGTAGTTCTGGGGCAGCTAATGCTTTGGTGATTTTTTATATTGTGTGGGGGTATTGTATGAGTCTTATAAAAAATCGCCAGCTTCAAAGGGCTCTCGGAAGGATTTTTTCAGAATTTTTTTTTTAATGTCGTAAGTGTTTGGGGTGGCTGGGGGGGTAGTTCTGGGGCAGCTAATGCTTTGGTGATTTTTTATATTGTGTGGGGGTATTGTATGAGTCTTATAAAAAATCGCCAGCTTCAAAGGGCTCTCGGAAGGATTTTTTCAGAATTTTTTTTTTAATGTCGTAAGTGTTTGGGGTGGCTGGGGGGGTAGTTCTGGGGCAGCTAATGCTTTGGTGATTTTTTATATTGTGTGGGGGTATTGTATGAGTCTTATAAAAAATCGCCAGCTTCAAAGGGCCCTTGGAAGGATTTTATCTTAAATTGTTTTTTCCAATTGTAAGTTTTTGGGGTGGCTGGAGGGGTGGTTTTTGTGTTTTGAGGAGCTAATTTATCATTTTTAGGGCTCACTGTCTCTATTCGAAACTGAAAAACCATTTTCAGTTTCAGGAGCAAAAAAAATTTTTTTTTGATTTTCGTTCATAAATGAACGTTCGGAACTTCAGGTACATAAACAAATGATTAGCTTACTAACTTTGAAAAAATTTAGAATTTTCATTTTTACATGTCTGCGTGGGTATTGTTATTAAAAGTTATCAAAAGTTTACTAGAGTAAGGTTTAAAATTTTCGCTCGGTTCATTTCTAATCATTGTTATATACGAATCGAATCGATTTTACATTCTCTACAAACATCCTTAGCCAAATAAATGATTAGCTTACTAACTTGGAAATAATTTAGAATTTTCATTTTTTCATGTCCGCGTGGGTATTGTTATCAAAAGTTAACTAGAGTAAGTTTTAAAATTTTCGATCGGTTCATTTCTCATCATTGTTATATACTAATCGAATCGATTTTACATCCTCTACTAGCATCCTAAGCCAAACAAATGATTAGCTTTTTAACTTGGAAAAAATTTAGAATTTTCGTTTTTACATGTCCGCGTGGGTATTGTTATTAGAAGTTATCAAAAGTTAACTAGAGTATGGTTTAAAATTTTCGATCAGTTCATTTCTCATCATTGTTATATACTAATCGAATCGATTTTACATCCTCTACTAGCATCCTAAGCCAAACAAATGATTAGCTTTTTAACTTGGAAAAAATTTAGAATTTTCGTTTTTACATGTCCGCGTGGGTATTGTTATTGAAAAGTATCAAAAGTTAACTAGAGTAAGGTTTAAAATTTTCGATCGGTTCATTTCTAATCATTGTTATATACCAATCGAATCGATTTTACATTCTCTACAAGCATCCTAAGCCAAACAAATGATTAGCTTACTAACTTGGAAAAAATTTAGAATTTTCATTTTTACATGTCCGCGTGGGTATTGTTATTAAAAGTTATCAAATAAACGATAGAAATGAATTTATATTAATAAACCATAACAATTTGTTTTAATATAAACTTTTTAAAACTCAACAAAAATATGGTTATAGTATTATAATTTTTTATAAATTAATTCAAATGTTAACTGGCTAAAAACGGTACTTCTATCCTAAATAAATAAATAAACGAAGATAAATTATTAATTGTCAAAGATGTTTGCATACATGTTATAACATGCATATATGCATGATGGAGAATTTTTATTAAATAGTTCGAATATATAATAACATATATAATCATCAACACTTTTATGACCACAAAAAGTTTGACAAGCGAATGAATATTGCATACAGCGTGCTTGTGAATATAGCTATTACACTATTGAGCCAGAAAAAAAACGTAGCCCTCTAGATCGCGCTGTAATTCAAACGAGCCACAAAAGTCGTACTTTCTGGAGCGAACGCGACTCGAAAGTTCAAATTTTCAGGTCCGGGATCAAGAAAAATATTTTGAAAAGTTTGACAATTCTGTTATTGAAATACTAAATCAAATATTAATATTCGCTATTAATTTTATGTTCAATCATATATAAATCAAATGAAGCTCATTTTGATCACTGATCAACTATATTAATAATAATAAATAATAATAATAATAACTTGTATGGGTTAATGTATCTAAAGAGCAATAAATAAAAAAAAATAATATCAATTAAAGAACGTCAAAAATTCAAGCATAAAGTGGAATATTAAATTACGAATTATTTCAAAGTGGATACTTATCATTAACAGTTATCAAGTATCAAAAGTTTTGAATTCCGTTTCATTTCATATATCGAATGTTTTAACGAGCCCCCATCAATTTACAATCGATTATTCTCAATCGAGCAGGCAAAGTTATTAATTAATATGTAGTTTAAATTTAATTTCATTATTAGAAATAAAAAGCGGCAATTCAATTATTGAAGTATGATAAAATGACTTTCATAATTGTTTTTAAATAAGTTAAAAACAATAACAATTTAACACATGTTTTGCATTGATGTTTTTTTTTTTTAATATAAATGTATTCATGAAATACGTATTTGTATGAATTTTGAACATCACGCAGCAAAGTTACAAATGAATGAAAGTTTTCGCTGGTAAATTTAATGAGTTTCTGGGCGCATTGAATAATTTTGATGATTTATGAATAAATTAAATTTAAAAAACTTGACTGAGCAGAGTTCGTTAACGAGAAATAATCAGGTTGACGTAGCACAATAAATAAAGGGACTGGGAACGTTAGTTTGAGGGCAGTGTGGCTTTTCATCTAACTTTCATTATATCACACCGATCATATCTCTCGGTCTCAGTGATTTACTATCGCTTTGATCTTACGGCCATGAAAATTAAATATTGATTGTTGAATAAATTTCCTCCCGAAAAAAAGGAAAGTAAAAAAAATTAATAAATAGTAATAGAATCAAAAAGTTTCAATACATTTTGAAATAAACTTCATGGTCTATACCATCGGGAATAAATAATACTTCATTATCATATATATATATATATATATATATATATATGTATATATAGTATATTTATTTCCCGATGGTATAGACCATGAAGTTTATTTCAAAATGTATTGAAACTTTTTGATTCTATTACTATTTATTAATTTTTTTTACTTTCCTTTTTTTCGGGAGGAAATTTATTCAACAATCAATATTTAATTTTCATGGCCGTAAGATCAAAGCGATAGTAAATCACTGAGACCGAGAGATATGATCGGTGTGATATAATGAAAGTTAGATGAAAAGCCACACTGCCCTCAAACTAACGTTCCCAGTCCCTTTATTTATTGTGCTACGTCAACCTGATTATTTCTCGTTAACGAACTCTGCTCAGTCAAGTTTTTTAAATTTAATTTATTCATAAATCATCAAAATTATTCAATGCGCCCAGAAACTCATTAAATTTACCAGCGAAAACTTTCATTCATTTGTAACTTTGCTGCGTGATGTTCAAAATTCATACAAATACGTATTTCATGAATACATTTATATTAAAAAAAAAAAAACATCAATGCAAAACATGTGTTAAATTGTTATTGTTTTTAACTTATTTAAAAACAATTATGAAAGTCATTTTATCATACTTCAATAATTGAATTGCCGCTTTTTATTTCTAATAATGTAAAATAATTTACATTATATATTGATATTTACAATACAAAACTATACTGCTCTGATCTATGATTATTTATATTTTTATATTTTTTCTTTTTTCTTATACTGTTATATTGTGTCAAATCTTTAATTTGAAAATGACTATGTTTATGGTTTTACATGTACTTTAAATTATATTTCTTTTTTATCTTTTTTTGTATTTTGCCATTTGGCTTTTGCTTTGGCATTGAAATTTAAATAAATAAATAAATAAATTGATAACAATAATACTATTTTATTTATTAATATATATTTTTTAATACAGTACGGTTATCTGTTTCTGTTTTCTGGTAATTAAAATCGCAGTGTGAGCGTTTCAAAAATAGATACAAACTTCGATCTATTCTTTAATTGCCATTTTTTAGGCCAGCTAGCAAAACGCTTTGACGATTTTTTTTCACTGAAAAAAATATATTGATTGTCTGTGGCGTTTTATTCTTTGGGGACATCATTTTTTGTAGGTTGAATTTTTTGGATAGCTGTGAGATTGTAATTAAACGACAGTGCGTGAGAGTATAGCGCTGTATTACTCGGAATTATTGTTATTATTATTACTGTTATTACAGTAAGCGGGAAGGTA